ATTACATTTGGAAACTGCTCTATGCTGGAAATTCTCTCTCAGTCCCTGTCCTTCCAGAAGTCTTAAGTCTTTAAATATCAGAGGGGTAGCCGTGTTAGTCTGAATCTGCAAAAAGCAACAGAGGGTCCTGTGGCACCTTAGAGACTAACAGAAGTACTGGGAGCATAAGCTTTCGTGGGTAAGAACCTCACTTCTTCAGATGCAAGATGACTTATGCTTATGCTCCCAGTACTTCTGTTAGTCTCTAAGGTGCCACAGGACCCTCTGTTGCTTTTTTCAAATAGACATAGGTGATTTCCTGAGAGGTGACACAAACTTTAGCTAGCAAACTTTACAGAATTCATGTCTTGTAATCTAGTTCTCTCTTTTCCACTGGGCACAAGTATCAAGTTAATATGTATCCCTTATCTAGTCAGAAACTTCTTCCAAGGTTATACTTAGCTAGAACATTTCATTCTTAGGAATAAGATTTGTACCAGCAGAGGTGGTATCAGATAACTCATGGTTGCTTTCCACTTGGAATAATAGATGCAGTAATTTTCTCATTTGTTTTCAGTACAAAAGTTTCAGAAAAATTTAAAGAAGGTCTGAGGGGCGTTACTAAAGGATGTCTAAAATACCAGACTGTAAAGCCATGAACTCTGATTTTTCACTTCATTTGCTATCGTAGTTTTGTTATAGTTCCTAATTTAGTGAAATCTGAATAATATTTAGTCATTCCTTTCACTGGCATTAACCGTAGGTTATTACAAAGCAAACCATGGAAAGCAATACTGGGGAGATGGTCTAGTTTGGACTCTTAGTAATATTCATGATGGTTAGATCATGAAATTGCTCTTGCTTGGGGTACAATGACTGTTTCCAACTTTAATGTCTTGAGTTTTAGTCTGACACAACATCCCCTATCTTTTTTGCTCCAAAGATCTTGCTGACACAAAGAGGGAGAGATGAGGACCTGCTACTTTTAATTTCTCCTTGTTTTTTAATTAAAAAATAAATGAGGAAGTCTTCATATCATAAAGGACAAAATCAAAATAGCTATTTGATTTGCAGTTCATCTTTGAACTAGGGATCAGGAATTAGAGGTGATATGAGACTTGGCAGCTCTTTGGACCAATGCAAGAGGTCTAGTATAGGGTTTGATGGCTGTGGGCCCTGTTGATTTATTTTAAGAGGGGAGACCTGAAAAAAACGACTTGTAAGGATGGCTTGGTCGGAATCCTAATTTTCCCTGTCTCAAGGTATCAAGAGTGCCATGAGGCATTTATCTGAATTTCAGAGTGGAAGGAAGGTAGATTTCCAATAACTTCTTAGCGCGTCTTCATCCTCCTCATCCTTGTGTAGAAATGCAGTGTAACATGCTCCACTTGAATGATTTTACTATTCTTTTTCTTGACACCTTGAGTATCAAGGCTAAGTGTAGTTCCCTGCTTGGGAAGAAAGACCTAGTGCCAAAGCTCATTGAAGTGAGTGGAAATACTTCTACTGACTCTAATGCAGCGTTTCTCAAATGCATCCACCAGGGGCTTTTCTTGTGGCCACAGCCTCCTAGGTGGTGATATGGGGAGGGGCAAAGCAGCCGCCCCTCCCCAGGGCCACCAGCAGGGGCTGGACCTTGCCCTCTTCTGGAACCACAAACACAGTAGGAGTAGGCAACCAGTGTGAGTTCCCCACCATCTTGGGAGCAGTGGGGTTCAGGTTTCGGCCCTGGGGTGGTGGGTGGCAGGCTCTGGCCATGTGGTGGTGGACTCCATCCCCCTGCCGCAGGACTTCAGGCTCCAACGCTGGGCTCACCTTCCCATCATCCCTGGTCTTGCCCGCCTCCCTTCCCACCTCCCCATCTAGGGCTTAATTTGTCCCTCAGCTTGCCGGGGCTGAGTAAGTCTGCTGTGAAAAGTGATATTAACAAATACACAAATATCACTTTTCACAGTAGCAGATTTACTAGCTAGCATGACTTTTTAAAAAAAAAATCAACCAAAAAAGGCAAAACATGCAAAGCACCTTATTTGTGTTTCTATTCTGTTTAGGTCCAGTAAAGAATAGAGGCAATTGTACATTACTTTTGTTATTGAGTTTGCAAAAAAAAAAAACCCTACATAAATAAATTCCAATGATTTGGACATGTATATGTGCATATTTATTTATTAATTTTTCCTAAAATTAAGTATTTTAGGAAAAAGTGTCAGTGTGGCCACCAGCAAGAGTTGGTGGCTGCACTCTGAGGTCACCAAAAATTTTGCTGTTAGAACTCCTGCTGTAATGGCCTTGGATCAGGCCCTTTGAAAGCATTAGTAAGTCTCCTTTGGTAGAAGTCGTTTGAAGAAGAAGTTGTTTACCCTTAGGATTTCTTGATTGACTATTAACATGCAATGAGGCAGACAGGGTGACCAATGAAATAGCTAGGGGAAATGCAAGATGTTGTGTGACCACAACCAGTTGCTTCTCATGTCTGCCCTGACTTGGTCATTGTATGGTAGGAACCAACAAATATGACAGGAACCAGTGCTCAGACATTGGGCAGAGAGGGTTTTGTTTTGGTTCGTGAAGGAAATAGTCCACAGAGTGGATTCTGCATGCATACTGTTTGATATATATTAGAAGCCCCTAATTTTTCAGACTTTGTGGGATAAGGAAGGTGTCCTCAAGTCCTTGATCTGAGTCACTTGTAGGAGAAGATGGAAATTACTTCTTAAAACACTCTTTTCTCTCCTCTTTAATCTATTTATTTAATAAATGATTCAGACATTAAAAAATCCCACTTTCTGGAGCCAAGCATTTCCTTCAGTGAACGTAGAATAAATTCTCTCTCCCCTGCGCAAGGCCTCCTATCAGGGTAACCGCAAGAGTGAATTGAGTTTAAACTGATAAAAGTTAGTTAATGCAGAATAAAGAATAAAGACCCCTACGTCAAACAGTTAGGTCTTGTCTAGATATTGTAGTACATATGGGTGTAGTGGAAAATCTTTCTGCTCAGAAAGAGAGTACCACAATTCACATATTTGGAGTGTGGCTGGGTGCCAGTTCAGAAACCTTCCTAAGTTTTTTAAATTCAGAAACCAACCTCCTGAAAATATTATGAGACATATTTCGCATGCTCTTTTGGGAAGATGATCCTGAAATTTTGGCATAGTTATACTCAATGTACTCACATTGTTTTTTGGTAGCTCAACTATTTCTCATTGCAGCAGATGGCAGTTTTAGGAATAAAATAATTTTCTGACTGACAGAAAAAACTAAAGATGAAAGTTGTAAAGTAGTTAATAAAACTTTTAATCTTTGAAACTGAGTACTGCTAATATAAAGTGAAAGAACATTCACTTCCATGCAGGTTTAAGATGAGAACATGTAGCTTTACATCTGGATGTCAAGTGAGAAGGGGGATAACGAGCCTTCTCTAAGAATATCATATTGACTGGATTTCCTCTCGCATGGCACAAGCTGCAACTGTCCTAGCTCTCAAAGACTTTTTGAAGCATTGACTGTTTAGTCCCATTCTGAGGCCAGTGCTTAGTGCCCTCTAGAATATTCAGTTTAATTTCCTTTCTGACCATGGTTAGGTAAAAATACTAGAATAGTGCCTTTCATTCATACCTCTCAAACTGCTTTACAAAGAAAGGGAAATATAATTACAGTAACTCCTCGCTTAACGTAGTTATATTCCTGAAAAATGCGACTTTAAGTGAAACGATGTTAAGCAAATCCAATTTCCCCCATAAGAATTAATGTAAATAGGGGGGGGTTAGGTTCCAGGGAATTTTTTTCACCAGACAAGACTAATAAATATACACACACACACAGTATAAGTTTTAAACAATTTAATACTGGTATACCACGATGATGATTGTGAAGCTTGGTTGAAGTGGTGAAGTCAGAGGGTAGGATATTTCCCAGGGAATGCCTTACTGCTAAATGATGAACTAGCAATTGGCTGAGCCCTCAAGGGTTAACCCATTGTTGTTAATTTAGCCTCACACTCTACCAGGCAGCACGA